TAAAACTATTTGCGCTGATTTATTCTGTTGGTTACATTTTGTTCCTTTGTGCAGTGGCTCAGGAGATGAGTCTGAGTTTGTATAAAAATCAACAAGCTGAAAAATAAAACCAAAGTAGTTTTTTTATTGGATAATTTAATCTTGTTAAAATTGATTTCATAAAACTGGTATCGAAAAAAGTATCGTTCAGGAACCGGTATCGAAGTCAAGGTATCGGTATCGATATTGAAAAGTTTTGAACGATATACCCAGCCCTAACCCTAATATCAGATTAATTAATTGACAAAATATATCATTACCATATTGATTATCTACCTATATAAGGTTAATAATTTATTAGTATTGGTCGATAATAGATTTTAAATTGTGCGTGCTCACTTCCCCGATTTTGATATCTTACATTTTTACACTTGCCACCATCTAACGCTCACTTAATTACATTGTTAAAAGAAATCTTCACACATTTCAAAATTAATATGCATTTTTCATGTACATTATAATGTCCTGGTGTCTATATTCACTTGTAGTATTTTAAACAGTTGATTGTGTGTGTTTTTTTTTTTAATGTAGATTGTTTTGGAACAACCCACCTAGCATTGTTCGGGAGGCAGACACACTCTGTCAGTTTAAATCTAGATTAAAGACACATCTCTTTAACCTGGCATACACATATAACATACGATCACTTTTCTATAATTCAAATCCGTTAAAGAATTGTTAGGATGCATTCATATTGTCAACCGGAACCGGGAACACTTTCCATAACACCCAATGTACTGGTTAAATTGACTAATATTAGCATAGATGCCATTCTTCTTACAGTTTCATTTTTATTCCGAGATCACCGTAGCCACCCAGATCCAGTTCGTATTCAGATCAGATGGTCACTGCAGTCACTTGGATCCAGTCCAGATGGTGGATCAGCACCTAGAGACGACCTCTATAGCCCTGAATGTCAGCGGACACCATGTCAATTAGACGAAACCTAGAGACAGATCCCCTGTGAAGACCTCATCAGCCATTGGCTCAAGACCACAAGAACCAAACGAGTCCTCTGCTCAATCTGACGTGTGTTGCAGCCTGGAATTAAACCACACCATGCAGGTTTCGTCTGGCCAGAGGAGAACTGGCCCCCCGACTGAGCCTGGCTTCTCCCAAGGTTTTTTTTTTCTCAATTTCTGTCACCGATGGGAGTTTTGGTTCCTCGCCACTGTCACCTTTGGCTTACTTAGTTGGGGACACAATTTCTGGAACATTGTTGGCTTGATTGCACAGACACTATTGGAAGAGAACTGAACTGAGCTGGAAGATGACATCACTGAATCAACAATGAAATGACTTTAACTGATAAACTGACTGTTTTCTATTGTCCGCTTGCATTATCAGCACACGCTTCTCCTGTTTAACACTGTAAAGCTGCTTTGACGCAACCTGTATTGATTAAAGCACTATATAAATAAAGGTGACTTGACTTAAAACTTTAGCAGCCATTACTCCAGTTTTCAGTGTCACATAATCATTGATAAACTGTTCTAATATGCTGATTTGGTGCCAAGGAAAAATTTCTTATTATCAATGTTAAAAACTGTTGTGCTGCTTAATATTACCTATGCCTTTGATGAACAGCTTTTATATAAAATATAAATTTTTATGTATCAAATAAATGCCTTGAATGTTACTTTTGATCAATTGAATGTGTCTTTGCTTTAAGGTCCTCAGGGTTTTTGAGTCTTAATGTGCACAGCTTTGTACACACGGAGTACGCAGACTGTACAGAGGACCAACTACTAAGGAAGGCATCAAATGGTGATTTTAACCAAGGCACACATTTGGCCAGAGGTGGCCTATATGAGACTGAACAATACAGGAACGATGAGTTTGTAGAAGAGTATCTAGAGATATTCTGGGAACATACTGTCATTCCACATCAGTCCATCTGTCCAGTTGTTTCACACTCTATTGTGCACTTGCACTGTGCTTTTCAGTTGTTTAAAAAAAGCCTGCTCATCTCTGGACTCCCGAGCTATAGAAATGAATAATCAATGGATTACATGACAAGAGAAATGCATTATTCTGATACATTTTATTCTCACATGTGACTAAATCCAGATGTCTACAGTGAAGCTTTACTATGAAGAACCTCTCTGAAGTCAAGAGGTGCCCGTCAAGTCATGTCAAATGTGCTCCCAGCAAATCGCCATTATGCTGAGGGGGTGACGAGTACAAGAGCTTCTCTACAAGTCTGTGAGCGGCAAGATTGCCAGCACACTGAAGATAATATACTGGGGTAAGGAAAGAGTGATGGAAGACAGGTTGACAACAGCTCTCTGGAGAAGACATGGCTTCTAAGTTGCTTGTTGCACCGTGCCACACAAACTTCTCTGATGTTCATTTACAATAATCTGGCTCTCGACTAATGACAAGCAGATGGGTGCAAGAAGGATAGTGCAAGAAGAGGAAACAAGAAGGAAATTTTTTTTTGAAGAAATCAAACAACATTGATGGATTTATATATGCAGCTATTTGAGAGCAACAAAGCCATTCTGCTCATGGCACAAAGTCATTACAGACATTTGATGAATCCTCACAGAACTAATGCATTTTTACATTATCTACAGTATGATCATGCCTCAGGAAAAAGGGAAGAATGGGGAAAAATACTCCTTCAGGTAAACACAATGACGTGAGTTGTTCCAAACACAAGATTGATGAGACAGCTGAAAATCTAAGTGTTTCTTGCTTTAAATCAAACATCATCAACACGTAGCACAAGATTTTGCACACCCACAAATCCCCAGTGATAAAGGGTTTACATCCCTCAAAACAATTACTGCCAGCCAAGCCATATTGAAAAAGCCAAAAGCTCTTCTTGCTCGTAAAAACACTCCACAATTTAAGCAGAGGAATAAAGAACAGGAGAAACTAAACCTTTCATTCAGGCTTGCTGTTTTAATACATACACAGTACCTTTGGTTTAAAAGCATCTGGCCAGTAGTACATTTGCCTTTTGCTTTAAAAATTAATATATTATTGAAGTCATAGAAAATTAAACAAGTCTGCTTTAGGAAAAAAGTATCTATCTATCTATCTATCTATCTATCTATCTATCTATCTATCTATCTATCTATCTATCGATCAATGTGTGTGTGTGTATATAGATAGAAAGATAGATAGATAGATAGATCTATCAAGTGATACTGAAGACTGGAGAAATGAGTGTTAAAAATTCATCTTTGCCATCACAGGAATAAATGACATTTTAAAATATATTAAAATAGAAAACAGCTATTTAAAATTGTAATAATATTTCACATTATTACTGTTTTTACTCTACTCATCCTTCATGTTAAATACATTTTAATTATACTGGGTGAGACATTCAATTATCCAGTGATCAGAATAGCAGCTTCATGCTAATATCGAATCCACTTGTGTTCACTTGTGCTTGCTTGCACCATAAATATCAGTGACTTTGTGAGAAGATTAAATCAATTAAGATCTGCCTGAGGAACTTCAGGAAGAAGTTGTTAGGAGGAATGTAGACGGTTATAAAAAGACTGGTAAAGCTTTTAACCTTCTATGTCTATTAAAGCAAAACAGAAAGAGCGTGGACCAACCCAAACACTTCTAAGGTCAGCCCATCTTATAAGACTGAGCAACTGGATAAAAAGGACATTTGTAAGAAAAATTACCAAGATGCCAAATGGTCTACATGGAATTCCAGAGCTGTTTGACTGAAAGAGGAAAAACTGTCTAGACAACAACAAGTGTTTGAGCATTTGACGTCTTATGACTCTTTGGGAGATCAGCCAGAAGAAAGTCACTTTTGAGACAAGCCAACAGTCAGCCTGGAATTTGCTAGAAGCCATGTGACAAAACATGAAATCTATTGGAAGAATATTTTGTGGTCTGATGAGACTAAACTTGAGCTCTTTGGCCTGAAAGTGAAGTGCTATGTTTGGCACACCAAATACAGCGCAATGCCAAAACTACCAAGCAAGATGGTGACACCACCATATTCTGTGGTTGTTTTTCAATAGAATGCTCTTTTAGGGGAAAAAGCTCTTTTAGCGTGCTGGGCGCACAGGGGAGATGATCATTTGCAACACAATCAGGGGGTAGTGCGGCCTGATGTGTGCAACCCACTCGACACGGGAAACCACCACCGCTGAAGCGCCGTCCGCCAACATGAAGAGCTCTCCAAGAGCGTGCTGAACTCGTTCAGTCTTCTCTCCGTAGAGTAGTCAGGAGCGGAACGATGTGATCGCTCGGCTCCGAAGCGAAAAGCTGAATATGCGCTGCACCTGCTGCCTACTTATACTCACGCTGTGATCAGCAGCAGCTGGATGCAATAATCGCATGCCAATGTGCATTGGCTCGTTTAGTTTACACTCGAAGTAGATTGGTCCCTCTAAGCGAGATCCCAATTTCGTCGGTCCTCCGACGTGACGTCGAGGGGAAAGGGACTGAAAGGGAACTGAAAACTTTGTGACAACAATTTGCCAAATATAGGCAAATCCTTAATAGGAGGTCTCTGGCCATTGCTGGACTCAGTGGACCTGTATGTGATCCAACTGCTCCTGCAAGCTATTTTCTTTGTTTGGGAAAGCGCTGAAGCTGAAAGGTAAATACTTTTTGTAAATGAGAAATATAAGTGGAGAAATGGCTAAAGGTAAATTTACTGGATAAATGCGTTTAATTCACTCTGGGATTTAAAAAATAAAATGAAAAAAAATAAAATAAAATACAACACACTGTAAAACTAGTTCCATCAATACTACCAATGTAAAGTGGCATTACCATAGGAGGTCTCTGGCCATTGCTGGACCTATATGTGATCCAACTGCTCCTGCAAGCTATTTTCTTTGTCTGGGAAAGCGCTGAGTGGTTTGTGATGGCCAGCATTCCAATAAAAACATTCTGTGGTAGGGGATGTATCTGAGAGCAGGTGGTTTCATATACATCCACACCCATTTGGTTCAGCTTGGTAGCCCACTTACCCCTCCACTAATGTCCTGTTGGCCAGACGGATGCAGTGCTCCCATAAGACATTGGACACAGGTAGAGGAATCCGAACTATTTTCGACACATCTCCCAGTCTCTGGTTAAACTTCTCAAACTCCTGCAGAAAACAGTTGATGATATATGGGTCAATGTCATAACACTCATGTTTTGTTTGGATCTATTCATTAATTAAAAAAAGATTAATAAACAAATATTGAAACATAATAAATAAAAACATTACAATTGGAATTCATACATGGAATGACTTGAATGGACCTCTTTTTGATTTCAAAATTAAAATATATATTTTAATTTGGATATATAAATTAAAATATATAAAATATATTTTTGTCATGGTTATAAAACTCTCCTGATACCACATTGAATATAAAACTTCATAAACATAATATTTATGAATAAATAATTCACAATATTTGTTAAAAAAAAACAAGTACTCAAGGAAAATAGATTACTTTTTACTTGGTCACAACACAGGATATTAAATAATATTGAATTGATATTGAATCAAATAGTACATTTCTAAGAACTTCGAATGTGTGTTTTAATCTAGATTGCTAAAAGATAGCTTTTTATAGGGGACACTCTTAGTTGTCATTGACCCTTAACCATTTTGTGTTGTGTCTTCTCTTGTGTGCAGTGCTTGCTGTTAACCATTCACCTTAACCATCACATCATTCTTATAGGGTAGTGTTGGAACCATCTGGATGAGAGGTATTTTAGCATGCTGTACAAGTCCAGAAATCCCAGGAAAGGTGTAAATTAATCACAGACTCAGAGAAGCAGAAACAGCGGTCTATAAATGTTCACTGGAGCCATATTGGCAAACCTACAGGATTCAGGCAATACAAAGAAAGTAGTGCAGATGTCTCGATAAAGCCATGCCACGTACAAAAACCTGCACTGTATAAGCCAGCTGCTCACAGAGGTGTTGATTCAGCTGTGCTCGAGCCCTTTTCTCTTTCACTTGTGACAGGAAAACCAACCCATAACTTTCTTAACACAATGACATATGGCTCATTTTTGAGCCAAGGACTACATGCACTGTGGGCTCGCACCTTGAATGTTGAAGAGCCAAGAGCACTAAAACGGCTGTGCAAGTTGTCTGGGTTATTTTGCAACCCTTTAATCGTTTGAATTAATAAAAAAAAAAATCCAGTTTATTTTACAACTTAGAAATATGGTTTTAAAAATAATGGAATAGTGATGGTGTCAAGATTACTGTGTCTCAGAATCTAATTATAATTTATAGTTCCTGCAAGAGACAGTATAAGAATTCATAGCAAGAAACTAATCACAACAAACATAGATCAGATTATTTGCACTAGGCCATGTTGATAACCATTAAAGCAATCCAAACTGAAAGGTTTTTGATTTCTAACAAGTCTTGCATTTGGGGGGCGGGGGTGCTGGGTGGTGGAGACCAACATTTTAATGTGCTTTTGTGCTGTGTGATGAAAAACCACAAGAAGATTTGACCCACTTTGATCCTAAAGAACTGTAATGTCACTTCTGAGCTGTCATCAGTATTGGTTCGAAATGGTCACAATATCAGTCTCTTAAATCAATTCACAGAAAAAGCTAAGAAAAAATTCTTATTTAGCTTTGGAACGGGTTTTGAAATTAGTTCTTAATAGTGAGCAATTAACTTCTCTGCCTCTTTTCCAACATGATCTATTATGGGGAGTGGGGTAAAGAGAGTTCTTGCCTGATTAATCTGGCAAACTGCGCATCGTTCTAGGGACAAGGCTATATACAGTATTTAGAAGTGGCCTATAATATACAGATTAGTGTGATTTAGGCGGTTTTTTAACTGCAACATTCTTTTTTTCACTTTTTTTTTCTTTTGCTGTAAGAAAAAACCCCATCCAGGTCTAAAAATAAATCTCAAATAAATATTGATGAATTGGCCATTTATGAAAATCATGTAAATTATTTGTGTATATCTTAGCTAAACGGGTAGTTCTGCCAGATGCTTTGGGGTAAATTGTGTAAAACTGTGGCTTAACAAATAGTGGTTTTAACTGAATAACTTAAGAAAAGTCAAAGGGCTACAGTGTTGTTTGGTCCAGATTGACTTGCATTGTTTTGGACAAAAACAGCTGGAAAATTATTTAAAATATCCTCTTTTGTTTTCCAGAGAATTCATAAAGTTTGAGAACGGCATTTAAATGACGACAGAATTTTCATATTTGTAAAAATTGAAATGAAAATTGAACAGCTTACTTTAACCCAGTGGTCACCAACCTTTTTTGGTGGTAAATTGTGTAAAACTGTGGCTTAACAAATAGTGGTTTTAACTGAATAACTTAAGAAAAGTCAAAGGGCTACAGTGTTGTTTGGTCCAGATTGACTTGCATTGTTTTGGACAAAAACAGCTGGAAAATTATTTAAAATATCCTCTTTTGTTTTCCAGAGAATTCATAAAGGTTGAGAACGGCATTTAAATGACGACAGAATTTTCATATTTGTAAAAATTGAAATGAAAATTGAACAGCTTACTTTAACCCAGTGGTCACCAACCTTTTTTGGTCCAAGATCCCTGACCTCGGCCTTTATGAAAGACAAGATCTACCTATTGAAGAATTGATAGAAAAAGACATCCCAGATTGTACTTCAAATTTGAGGCCTTTTACTTAGTATTTTAATTAGTGATGCACCGATCATAGCTGATTCAGAATTCAGATTTTCTTTCTTTTTTTTTTTTACTAGCAAATTAGATTCTGATACTGAAATTTATTTATTGGCTATTTGCTTTATAACAAACAAACTGGCTTTAAACAAAAATATCTAGCCATTTGAAATTAGAGGCAACCACTGCATTTTAATCATGATCTGCATGGGCAGTTGTTTTTGATTTGATTTAGATTAATTTCAGGATTTAAAACAAAAACAGAATGGTCTGACTTTAGATGTTATTTATTTATTTGCTACATAAAACATCTGCACGGAACAAAAACAGCAGGTCTGAATGAGACGCACTCTCTGACAGCAGGTAGCGCCTATGAACAGGGTTGCCAGGTTTTCGCAATAAAACTAGTCCAATCGTGTGTCGAGGGAGGTTCCCTGTAAAAATCGCATTCCGGGGGTAAAATACACGTTTTTCGGCAGGGATCTTCCAGTAAAATTCCCATTCCAGGGACTAAATATCACGTTATTGGGGTCGCTTCAACTCGCGGACATGAACAACAACCCGCGGCAACAGTGTTAAAGTAGCCCAATTCCACGGGAAAACCGCGGACTTGACAAAACTGCTTATGAACCGACCGCAATATAGCGTTTCCTTGTTTACCGCTGTAAACAAAGCAGAGTTGCGCTTTATACGGAGAATAAAATGCCATTGCCATCGAAACTTTTCTCAAGACAGTTCCCTTCAGTGATACATTAATATAACCCCGTAAATGTAATACATTTTTGTACTTATTTTACAGTTTTTTTTTCAGGATCTACTGGGAGAGTGATAAAGATCTACCAGTCGATCGCGATCGACGGGTTGGCGACCACTGCTTTAACCTATAGAAATGAGAACCGGTACACCAGTACATGGCAGTTAGAGACAAAGAACAGTGCATTTCTGTTCTATAATGCAGACAACTAATTGTGATATTTACTAATACATACAATATAGGCAAATGTCATTTATGGGCCCAGGCACCTGGACGCCATTTTTTTGGAAATTTTAAATAAAGTCAATGTAAGTCACTAGTATATTTCCACAGTTACATAATTAATTCAGTCAACTTGGCAAACCTAGACAAATTGGCTTCAACAAACAGACTTGGCACAGGGTTACAACGATGGCACCAGGAGAAACGGGCACAGCGGCTTCACTCAGCTTAGCTGGCGCACAAAGGTGAGCCTCATTTCTTCATTAGCAGCCAAGCTCCATTACATTCCCCACTAAAACTTTGCAGCTCGGATCAGGAACTTATGTAAATCCACATGATTATGCATATTTCTGGATTCATCATGCTTCCTCAGCAAATAAGCCAAAGAGATAATTCAATTGTGAAACCCCATCTACTCACAGAGCCTTTTTTGTCTCAGTATATGCGTCAGCCATTCAAACCGCTCCCTAACTCCATGAAAAATTCATATAGGCTAATAAGCAAAGGTTATAGAAGAGATGTGGGCATGCAAATGAATGAGACACCCTCAGTCCAGTCACACTTAACTGAGACATGGGCTAGCTTTTTTCCTTTTAAACTTGCCCCTCAAATTCTGCATGAGATTCCCAAAGCCTGACCATTTAAATAATTCAGATCCTGACAAATAATTGATATCGTGATCTTTCAATCTAGAAGATTTCATGAGGCACAGTCATTAGGCAAGGGGAAAAAATGGACGAAGAAAAAAATCTGCATGAAGAAAGTTAACTAGCAACCTTAGGGTAAACATATCAATCAAGCCTGCTCGTTGTGGGCATTAACTTGTTTGTTCGCTTCAGTGGAAGTCACAATTCGTCCAGTAAATTATAACAGCATTTCAATGCATTTGTAATGTGCTGCATGTGGAACAGCAACAGTGACAGGGGACAGTGACAGCTATACCGGGCTTTCATTCAAGAGTTCAAATCCCACGTCTCTCCACAGCAGCACCTAGAGAAGCAGCACTTAACCTGAATTATCTCACTTTAAACATGCAGCTGTGTGAGTGGGCATGGGTTCAACAACACAAGGTCCACTGCACATGACTACGCACTTAGACTTTATTTCAGTAAATCAGAATTATCTGCTGTGCCAGTGCTGCAATTCATTCAGAAATCAAATGCTTATAATAATGCAAAGTTGGCTTATGTATTTATATATTTTATATTTCATTTATATATAATTATATATTATATTATGATTTTTATATATTATTATTATTATTATTCATTATATACAATACCGTTCAAAAGTTTGGTGTCAGTAAGATGTTTTTTAAATTTTTTTTAAGTCCCTTATATTCACTAAGGCTGCATTATTTGATTAAAATACAGTTTAAACAGTAATTGTGCAATATTCCTGTGTTGGCAAAGCATCATTACTCTGGTCTTCAGTGTCACATGATCTTTCTGAAATCATTCTAATATGCTGATTTGCTGATCAAGAAACATGTCTTATTAATTATTATTCTTATTTTTCTTCTGGTTAATATTTTTGTGGAACAGTCATTCATTTTGTACAGGATTCTTTGACGAAATACAAAGATTGAAAGAACATTTATTTGAAATAGCATGTTTTTGTGACTTTACTGTCACTTTTGAACAATTTAATTAATTTCTTAAAAAACCTTATTGACCCAAAACTTTTGAACTGTAGTGTAAATAATAATAATAATAAGTATTATTATTAATAAAAAATATATTTATGTTCAGTTATTTCACTTTAATGGCATAGAAAAGGACCTGTATATTGCCATTAAAGTAAAATTATTGAACCTAAACATAGGAGCCTGATAAAAATGCTAATTTTAGATGAAAATTTCAGACTGCAGTTAGAGGCTTTTGCATCTGAACTCTTCATATGTGTGTGTGTGTATACAGTGGAGACTAAAATTAGAGAACAATCTATAAATATTAGATTTTTTCTGAAATACTGTTAATCTTCATCGCTCAAAATTAGAAGGAATATTAGCTGTGGGTCTACCAATGTTCTACTAACATGTTTGGCATTTCAACAAAAACCTTTATTTTGTGAAAAAAAAAAAAAAAAAAAATTTGGAGAGTTAAAGGTGTCAAAAATGAGTAGGAATTGTAGAGGCCCTTGGTTTGAATGTCTTTAGCACATCTGCGCCCGCAGGACATCACTAGTTTCTCACACTGCGATGGTGTGATCTTGGTCCAGACATGTCCACAAGTCTTTCATCTGAAGTCCGAGTCAAGTATGAAGTCTTTAAGCTTCAGTTTTTGCATTATGATTACTCAAACCTGAACACACACACACATTAAGAGAGAAAAGCCGTATATGCGTATATTACGAAAAGAATGATAAAAGGCTAGATTTTTCATTAATGTTTTTAACAGGACACACTGCAGCACATTGGTGAGTTAATGTTACTAACTTTTGTGGATGTGTTTTAAGATGTGATACATTCTAAGATTTGATGCTGTCATTCCGGTATCTTTAAGTTTTTCCCCACATACACTGCATCTAGCCGATCTTCATGATTCTGACACAATATAACCAAATGTGAGAACATATGACATGGTGGTTCCCGCCATGCTTCATAACCTTCTGACATTTCTGAATGTATGCGCAATACGTGGACATACGTCATGAAATACTATGATAAAGAGTCCCATCTACATCAACAAGTAAATATGTGAAGCAGATATAGTAAAAGCATATAAGTAAATTCCAAGTTCTTTATGATATCAGTAGTTAAGGATAAAAGACTCGAGATGTGTTTAAAATATTCACGAGTCCTTCTTGTTGAGTCGAGTCTGAAGTCTTTTCAGGTCGTGTCTGGAGTTGAGTCTGAAGTCTATTAAAATGCGACTCAAGTTCGAGTCACTAACTCGAGAGCCCATCGCTGTCTTGGTCCACTTTGGTTAGTTTTCTGAAGGTTCCAAAACAAAATCACCTAGCAACCACACCTTAAAATCTCTGGTAATACCACCAAATTTGGCACTCACCAAATAGGAAAGTATATGTTTTACTTTTTTTTTTCATTTTACCACAATGCACCGCGTGGGGTGTTTTGACCAATCACAGATGATGTTATTGTGACTAGAGGTGAGAATCTTCACTTGCCTCATGATTCGATTACGATTCAGAGGGTAATGATTTGACTATAAAACGATTCTCGATTCATCATTCACTCCAATTCTTTTCTTAATAATAGTTACTATATTAATCCAAATATATTTTTGTTATTTTATCTGTTATTAAAATAAGAACAAAGATGCAAATAAACAGTAGAACCAACATAAGAAAGAAACAAATCAAATTAACAGTGCATTACTTTCTTAATTTTACACCTAAACAGAATCATTAAAGTAAGAAAAACAAAGAATCAAATGTAAAAATCACTGCATGGTCTTTAGTGATTTCATTACAAATAAGGTAATTCAATCAAGAGCACTGAATAATCCCCTCTATTCTTTTATTGTTTGATTAATATTAATGAGACAGACAGCCTATATATTAAGACCTACTGTTATACACAGATCTGATATAATGTTACACATCAGATGTTTTTTCCCCAACAGTTAACCAAACATTCACTTAAGACATAATAGATTATGAAAACTCACAAAGATATTTTGAAATAAATACTGTAATTCTGTGTATATGTGTATATCGGGATCACGCGGTGTCTGAGAGGCGTCTTTGCGTGCACGCTTCGGATGTGTCAGTCAGGTCGAGTAAGATCCTTTTCGTAGGTTATCTCTCTATACACAACTTTTTTTAACGTCAATTAAGTCCCACACTTTATTTTCTCATTCCTGCATGTTCCTTTCAAAACCAAAATCAAAACGTCAGACGCAAGTGCTTTGCTTCCGATGGACAGACGCAACTTTTTAAAACAAAGAAAGTAGACCTCTCAGAAACCGTACAAATAAAGATCATTTTAGATGTTTAATTACTATGTGGAGCATTGGGATTTCTAGACGCGGGCTTAATTAACTTATTTTTGTGAAAACCTCAAATTCAACCAAATTTGACATTTTTCACTTGTTTTGCCTGTAGCTTGTAATTAGCCTGTGCGTATACCGACTCATTTTGCCAGCACGGGCCACATACAGTGCTCTTCTACACAACTGTTTGTCATGTAAACTACAGATAAATAATAAATAATTCCAGACTCCCAGGAGCTGATATTCCGTCACCTCATCAGTAAAGTCAACCCATAATCACATCCGTCACTTGAGTGAGTGTTTGAGAAGTCGCCTGTCTCTCTCAGTTAAACCAAGCATGTCAACCTTAACGTTAGACCTCTGGATAACCTTCTGACACACACATTCTGACACCACACATTTCAATCATCCTGCTTCCTGTTAGGTGAGTACAGCAGATGAGTGGATAGGACATGTCAGCAATGCCCTCCTACTGTGGCACGACAGTTTTCTTAAAACTCGACAAACCATGTTGTAATTGACTATAGAGAAGGAGAGAAATTGCCAAGAACTAACTATAGATGGAGAAAAGGTTGGCTGATCTTTACTGATTCACGTCTAAGCGAACTCCCACCTGCTCTCCTCTAGTGTGAAAATGAACAGAGGCGGCAACACATTTTTTCTTGCACACAAAATCCACTGCATGGCCTCACAAACACATTACCTTTAAAAGGACATCCACATAGACGTTGTGCTGTGACATTATCTCTTTAATGTCCCATTTCACTCCCACCATCAGTAACAGCATCTGTTCGTAATCTATGGCTTTGGCCGCCACGATCCAGTAAATGGGTTTGCGGAGCTCGCTGGCTGTAGATACAGTCTATAGAGAAAACAGCATAAAATAGGTCAAAATTAAGAGTACCTTTACATAACCATCAGCCAAACAGTGGAAAACAAAGTTTAGTATCTCTCGAATATCCAAGATGCAAAGATTAACATTTTAAATAGTTGAGACAGTTATACGTACAGTGCCTTGTACTGAGAATAAAAGTATATATAAGGGCTGGGTAAAAAAATATAGATATCTCTATATTAATCGATTCTCATTTTTACGGAACCATATCGATTCTTAAATCCCAAGAATCAATTAGTCTAGCCTGTTTTCAGTTAATGGATGGAACATTGAAGCACATCTCCCACACAACATATCGCAATAAGCATTGTACTTTGTTACTTTTAATATGAAACATAGTCTCAGATTTTAAATTCTGTCCATTGTATTGCAGTATTCAAATAATAAATGCCGTTTTGGCGCTGTTTAATGTGGTGACAGATCGCTGTAGCGCCTCAGTCCAACAGACGCAGCAGCGCGAGGCGCACGTGAACTAATCATCTCCTCCACATTAATAAACATGAATAAACATCTGAAGGTAAGTTAAAAGAAAGAGTACAACTTTACAATCCGTCTCATGCAGTCTCATGTAATCGCTCAATCAGTGTTTCAGCCGTGCAAAGACGTCAATATAATGTCTTGTAAACAATGCCACGTAACGTCACATTTTCCTCAGAAACAAACATATTTGGTGACCATAAACTCATTAGTCAGCTGAAAAATAAACTGTAGAGAGGGGCATGTTGCTAAATATATGCACCATATAACATCTTCCTTATAATTTTTACTGCTCTTCAGTGTTTAATTTAGGTTTGAATAAATCCATCAAGTTTTATGACAGCCACCATTTAAATTTTTATAGCCAATAACAAAAACGAATTGAAGTAGAAATATTATTATGTAATAACTTTATTTTAAAAATTTAAAAAACGTGTAATTTTAGCAGTTGTGTAGCCTACAAATCCGTTTTAACCTTCAATATTATAGTAATGTAGCTAGTACCAACTACACACTGACTCATGTATATTTTACAGCATTAGTGAGATTTTTTTACCCTTGAAAAAATTTGGCATGTAGCCTACTTTACCTGATATTTATGTCCAAAATGAATCGAATCGGTAATCGAATCGAAAGCTTGTGAATGAGAATCAAATCGAATCGTGAAATTTGTGTCAAAACCCAGCCCTAGTATATACTGCAAAATGAATCCCCCAAATCCTGGAAGTCCTACTGTTCAACTTTACTTCTTAATGATACTTTCAGTTCTGATAAATCAATAAAGACATATTTGCCTTAAAATTGGATATATAATATATGTATATATACTGTATATATATATATATATATGTGTGTGTGTGTGTGTGTGTGTGTGTGTGACCCTGGACCACAAAACCAGTCTTAAGTCGCTTGGGTATATTTGTAGCAATAGCCACAAAAAACATAGTTTGGGTCAAAATTATAAATTTTTCTTTTATGCCAAAAATCATTAGGATATTAAGTAAAGATCATGTTCCATTAAGATATTTTCTAAATTTCCTACCATAAATATATCAAAACTTAATTTCTGATTAGTAATATGCATTGCTAAGAACTTCATTTGGACAACTTTAAAGGCGATTTTCTCAGCATTTAGATTTTTTTTGCACCCTCAGATTCCAGATTTTCAAATAGTTGTATCTCGGCCAAATATTGTTCTACCCTAACAAAGCTTAAGCTTAGGGTAATTAAAGCTTATTTATTCAGCTTTCAGATGATGTATAAATCTCAATTTCAAAAAATGTACCCTTATGACTGGTTTTGTGGTCCACGGTCACACACACACACACATATATATACACACAGTATATGGATAGATAATAGTAAAAAAAATTATATAAACTGTATATACAGTACAAAAAAAAAAAAAAAAAAAAAAAACACCAAAAAAGGGAAAAAAAATTCAAAAA